GCTCCGCTTTACTATAAATCTTTTGCATCCCAAACTGACCATCTGTGCTCTCTCGTCGCGCCGTCTCTCCGTCTCTGCGCGGTTTCTTTCCTCCGGTTTTCCACTGCGCCGCGACGAATCGCGACGTCTCGCCCGTCCACCGAATCGTCTCGAATTGAGTTGATTATAATCCGTTGTTGTTTGTAAACGTCGTGGTCGGTTCGTGGTGGTGGAGGCTGCAGTCGGTCAAGTGTCGAACCAGTCACGCGCACAAGGCATCGCAATAATCGTCGTAGTCGTCGGCCATGAACAATCCGCTGCTGGATGATGACCTCCCCAAAGCTGTCGGCATCACTCACGATCCTGCGAATGTAACGATCCAGCCGGCCGGGCCAGATTACATCGCTCCATCTCCTCGGTTTGGCGCCCGCGTGGCCGGCGTCGATGCTTGCATGCACAGTTACATGCGCGTGTCGTTATCTCCCGGGGTCGATATTAATCGATGTATAATCGCAGCGTTACACACGAGGGGCGAACTCTCAAAAGTCAACACAGATGAGTGTCGATATCATCCCCTCACCCCTATCCCTCTCACACAATCAGAACTCCACTGCCCCCCCTCACCACCACGCTCCCCACCCTCCATCCACACTTCTCTCTGCCATCACCATCCTACTCCATCCACCACGGTATCTCCAACTCTCTATCCTCCCCTTCACCACATCTCCTCACTCCCTCTCTCCATCCATCGCTCCATCTTCTCTCAAGACGTCAATCCCGCATAAGCCCCATCTACTCTCCCCTCCCTCCCTCCATCCTCCCCTCCCATCCATCTTCCCCTTCCTTCCTTCCTTTTTTACGATTAGAGGAAACAAGAAGATGCTCGGTGTAGTGGGCACTTTGCTTCGTTCATCATTTCGTTTTTATTGTTTTTTTAATGCTTTGCTTTATCTAAACCCCCCCTCTCTCCCCCTTTCTCCCCTCTCTGTCCCCCCCTCTCCTTTCTCTCTCCTCCGTTCTCCCTCTCCCCCCCCTCTGTCCATTCTCTCTTTTTTTATCCTCCCCGCCCTCCATCCTCTCCTCCCTCCCTCCATCCTCCCTCCATCCTCCCCTCTTGTTCCTCCCTCCCTCCATCCTCTCCTCCCTCCATCCTCCCATCCCTCCATCCATTCTCCCTCCCCTCCCGACATCCTACCCCCCCCATCAGGCCTCCCCAGGCTAAACCCGCTCATTACCCGAATCACGCATGCGCAGGCTCCGACAACACCACACACATTGCCACACCATCTCTTCCCCTCCCCTCTCCCTCTCTCCAATAAATAACGAAATCACACAGGCACACTGAGAGGGTGCCACAGCGATCACCCCGATACCGTTACCTCTCTAAGTATCCTGTTCGATAAGAGTGTCGTAGAGCGATATATATATTCATACGTGCGCAGCAGTAACCCTCTGGAGGGAGGGAGGACGATCGTACACTCGGGCTCGTGACAAAGCCGCGTGTGGCTGCCCCTTCCAGCAGTGCTCTGCACGTCTGGGCGCGCGCCCTCCTCTAGCAAAAACCAAGGCGCGAGTGAGTACCATGTTGCTTTATCTGCTCTTTTTTTGGGGGGGGGGTGTGATGGGCGCCTGTGCGGTGAAGGTCGCCTTCGATGGCTTGCAACCCTGCCGCCACACTTGATCATCGTCATGATCTTCATCATCATCATGCGCGTCATCATCACTGGCATCATCATAATCGGCATCATCATCATCATAATGGGCATCAGCATCATCATAATGGGCATCATCATAATGGGCATCATCATCATCATGGGCATCATCATCATCATGGGCATCATGGGCATCATCATGGGCATCATCATGGGTATCATCATCATCATGGGCATCATCATCATGAGCATCATCATCATGGGCATCATCATGGGCATCATCATCATGGGCATCATCATCATCATGCGCATCATCATCATCACTGGCATCATCATCATGGGCATCATCATTATCGTCATCGTCATCCGCGTCGCGTCTCGTGTAAACAATGGGTCGGACGGATCTGCGAAGCGAGGCTGTCTGTTTAACTCGGCGTATGCGGCGTCGGCTTCATCGTCGTCGCCCGCCGCACTCGATCCACTGCTGGATGAAGGACTCGTCACCGAAGCCGCCCCCACCTGTCACGATGTAGCAACAGCAGCTGATTACATCGCTCCATCTCCCGCCCCCCTTCACCCGGGTGGAAGTACTCTGCCACGCGCTCCATTCGTTGCGCTGCTAATGCACGGCGCTTTTGTCAATCCACTGCTGGATGAAGGCCTCCCCGCACGCCGTGGCAGTCGACGTGGGACAGGGGAAGAGGTGGGAGGGGCGAGGGGTGGGGGGGGTGTTTGACCATACTTCACCACGCTGGGCAGTGCTAACGTTGGCCGTGGCCCAGGATGGAGCTCTTGAATTCGTAGCGCCACGTGCTCGACCATCGCGCCACCGCTCCCCACACACGCACAGATCTGCGTTGAAATTCGTTGTAATAATTACGAGGTAGTAGTAGTAGTGGTGGTAGTCATAATACGAGTGGGAATGTTAGTCACTGATTGCAGGTGAGCCTCAAGACTCTTTGACGTGAGGGTCCTGGCTCCTGTACCCCCATCAGCAGCAACGACTGGTTTTAGATGAAAGGTTTTCCCCCACTTCTCACCGTGATCCACCACCAACCCCCTAGCCTCCAATGCTCCGGGCATCACAGGCGTGTGACACCGGCCCCCACCTCGACCCCCACATAACAGATGCCGGATTGTAAGACGCTCCGGAAAGTAAGACGCACACAAGACGTGTGCCCAATGTCAATGCAGCCGAACGTCTCCTATTGCAACAAGACGATACCAAGATCCCCCGTATAACCTTAATAGACTGTAGGGGCAAGTGCTGTTAGCGAGCACCTATAGAGGGGGTGGGTGACCAGCACCACGCCCGACCGCCTTTGTATCCCCAGTGACGATGTTTACACACCGCACCAGGTACTCATTTGAGGCCGAGTCGACCTCGGGGAGGCCCAGGACCGGTTCAGATAATCGGCACTGGTGTTGGCCGTGAGCGGCAATTGAACTCGGGTCACCGGGTTCATAGCGCAGCGCGCTAACCGCTACACCACCGCTCCCCACACGCACACAAACACCTGATTATAAGACGCACCACAACTTTTCATTTAAAAATATAAGGGGGGGGGGAGTGAATACGTATCCCTGTGTATGTGTGTCAACATCAGCACTGGGGAGACAAAGACGGCCGGGCGTGGTGCTGGTCACCCCCACCCTCTTCGTGTGCCGTGCCGGCCTTCATAGGTGCTCGCTAACAGCACTTGGCCCAGCAATCTGACAAGGCTATGAGGCGGGTCTTTATCTGTGTATGTGTATGTACGTACGGAGCGCTAACGTTAACGGAGAGCGCGTTTGCGTTAGGAACCTGGCGATCCGAGTTCGATACCCGCTCATGGCCAACATCGGTGACGATTGTCTGAGCCGGTCCTGGGCCTCCCCCTAGGTCGACTCGGCCTCAAATGAGTACCTGGTGCGGTGTGCAAACATCGCCGCACGGCAGACAAAGGCGGCCGGGCTTGGTGTTGGCCATCCACAAGCCCCCTTTGTGTCCCGTGCTGGCCTGCATAGATGCTCGCGAACAGCACTTAGCCCAACAATCTGACAAGGCTCTAAGGCGGGTCTTTGTCTCTGTGTATTTGTATGTACAGGGTATGCAGTATTCCCGCGTGCGTGTGTGTTGCGTGGTTTTGTCAGCCTTGACAACTGCGCACTTTGACCACGAGGTGGCGCGCCAATGAGTCGACCGTGAAGAGCGCTGAAAAGTGAAGGCGCAGCACATGCAAGTGCCTCGCTCACTCGCTCCACTGCTGGCTGAAGGGCCTCCCCCAAGAGGAGGGAGCTTTCTCGAGATCCCTCTCCCAGAGGGGCATTTCGATGTTGGCCTCTGCTCGTTCACGCTCGCACCCGCGTCTTGGAAGAGGATGGGGAGCAACCCACACTTTACCCCCATCCCACGTGACCTGCCCGAGGGGTGGGTCGGGAAAGAACTCACGACCTCCTGTATACCAGGCGAGGGAGTTAACATCTCACCACCGTGGCGCCTATTCAATTCCTGCTCAGGGCCAAGCCCAGTGACGATTATCTAAACCGGTCCTGGGCCTCCCCTAGGTCAACTCGGCCTGGAATGAGCACCTGGCACCGGCGTGTGAACGTCGCCACGCCGGGGAGACAAAGGCGGCCGTGAGCGTGGTGTTGGCCACCCTCGCACCCCTCTCACGTGTGACCCCGTGCCGGCCTTCACAGGTGTTGCTCGCTAACAGCGCTTGCCCCAACACTCTGTTGAAGGTTCTACATGGGTAATCTGTGGTGCACCAGCGTGGTGAGATGTTAACTGCCTCGCCTGATATACAGGAGGTTGTGGTCGATCCCGACCCTGACTCCTGCTGCTGGAAATTTGGAGTTTGCATGTCTCTCTCTCACCGTGGTCGTGCGGATATTTCTCGGGGTCCTCCGGTTTTCCCCTCCACATTTAGAATCAACATCACCACGCGTTTAGAGTATTTGGCTGCTGTCCGTGATCTCCACGTGATCATGATGATGATGATACCCCACGTCGTTGGGCTATCACTTGTTGCCAGGTCGCTTAGTGGGCCTTACCTGGTTAAATAAAACAAATGGTTTAAGTGGCTTCACTTGAAGCTTTCGTGACTGCAGGAATTCACATTCTTTGGGTCTTTCGGTGAAGTCACGTAGATAGGTAAAACAAACATTAAACTAAACTAAAAACTACGACGTTTCGATCGCAACACAAGCAACTGTGATCAGGTGGGAAGAAAAATCTTGATGACGGTCGCTTGTGTTGCGATCGAAACGTCGTAGTTCGTAGTTTTTTTATTTTTTTACCTATCTACGTAACTTTACCGAAAGACCCAAAGAATATGAAATGGCTTCAGTGAATCTTTGCCATTTGTTGTGTACGCGTGCGAGCAGGTCAGCGGCCGCATCTTCCAGCGATCCATGTCTTCCTCCGACCTGGGCCTCTTCTCCGACGACGACAACGCGGGGCTGAGGTCGCGGCGCTCCCACCGGGACGACGACGGCGAAGATGGCGACGACGATGACGACGAGGAAGAGGACGACGAAGACGACCGGCTGAGCGTGAAGTCCGACTCCCTGCAGTGGCTGCAGGCGGGCGACACCCTGCCGTGGAACCTGCCGCGGCACCAGCGAGCCAAGATGCGACGACCTCACGAGTCGGTGCTCGACCCGGCGGAGAGGGCCGTCCTTCGCATCGCCGGTGAGCGCACGCCGTGGGATGGTGCGGGGGAGGTGGGAGGGGGGGGTATGTGAGATTGACGAGTGGCGGTGGCGGTGTTGGTTGTGCCAGTCGTCTCGGTCGCTCAAGCCACGGGCACCTGGGTCTGTCCCGCCCGTGACCTCGTGCCAGCGAGCTTTCGACACTTCACGCGGCCTTAAAGGGCACATAGGCTGGCACAAGCGTCGGGGTGACGTTACCGCCACTTGGTGGTGAATGGCGGTGGTTGTTGTGCTGTGGTCCCACGTGACTCTCCACTCTTGAGCATCTGATTGAGTTGTCACATCCCTGATGTATTAGTCCCCAGCAATGCCCCCACCCCCACCTCCAATCTAGCCCTTTGACCACCGGTGCCCCCGACCCCTTCCCCAGCGCCCGTGCCCCCTCCCTCCACCACCCCCCCAGGTTGCTAAGGCCACAATGCAAGGAGTGAGAGGTCACGATGCCTCGTGTCGACGCGGTGTTCGCGAGGCACGTTCCACGTTGTGTATTCGTGCGTCTGGTCACCGCAAATGTGGCGCCGATGTCCGCCCACACACTGACTGTACCGGAGAGCCTCGCCGTGCGGGTGCCACGTGAGTGAAGGCCCAGAGAGTCCCACAGTCGGGGTACCACGGGAACGAAGGCCCAGAGATCGCCGCCGCCACCGCTGAGAGGCGAGAGATCCAAGTCCGACGTCGGCGTTCTTGTTGGATCGGAGGGGTGCAGCAGCAGCTCCAGAATATACGGGGGGGGGGGGGTGGGGGGCGGGTGGGGTAGCGCGAGGTCATTCAGGACCATGAATGCGAGGAGGATGAGGACCCTGAATTTTAAGTGAAATTTAAACCGGCGACGGGTAAGGTGAAGCGGGTGATAATGGTTGTACAATATCAATATCGGTGACATTGACGGTGTTAATGGCGTCGCATAGTCAATGCCAATATCATCATAGTCAATTTTATCCTGTAACCAACCCATCATTGTTAATCATCATCGCCATCATCACCACCGTCGCCATCGTCTTTGTTATCATCGACGGCAACAGCTTCCTCTTCACCGCAATCATCATTCCTACCACCAACCCCATCATTGTTAGCAACCCCATCGTCATCATCATCATCGTCCTCATGGCTATTGCAACTACAATGCGACAATTGCCATCACCGCCATCGTCACAATTCATTAAAATATTATCACGTGGAAAAATCCCGAGAGCGTCAGCATCTCGTTTCGTTTACAAGGGCGTTCCTTCCATGGTGTTATTACCACCGGCATCACCACCACTCCCAAAATCACCAACACCACCGCCAACCACCACGATCATCAACACCACCAGCATCAACACCGCGACCACCACGATCATCAACACCACCACCACCACTGCCAAGATCACCATCAACACCGCCACCACCACGATCATCAACACTACCACCACCACTGCCAAGATCACCACCACCATCAACACCGCCAACCACCACGATCATCAACACCGCCACCACCACCACCACGATCATCAACACCACCACCACTGCCAAGATCACCACCACCATCACCACCACCACCACGATCATCAACACCACCACCACTGCATCCATCACCGCTCCCGCAACCACCCATCAGTATAATCGCCACCAGCACCATTATTACCAAGACCGTCGTCTTCACCACCGCCGCCACCATCACCGCCACCACCGCCGCCACCACCGCCACGGTGCCCTTGTGACCGCGGATTTGCGGTGGCGTGGCGCGGTCACTCCGCAGCGATTCGGCAGCCGTGGGACTCGGGCGGCCCTTCCTCCCGTCCACCGTTACACCCCCCCCTCCCCCGCCCGGCGCACGGCTGCTAATGGGTATTGATTGCGGCTACGGGGAAACGGGGAAGAGGAGCAGCTCGCGGGAAGGGGAAGGGCGTCTCGCGTGTGCCCTTGTGCCAGGGCGGTACCAATGGGGGGGAGCCGGGTAGGAGAAGGAGGGGGGGGTCCCTGTATGGGTGTCGATGAACCCTTCCACTTGAACTCGACTGCTACCCCAGCCACCCCACAATGCAATGGGGTTGGTGGGGGGCACTGTGTACATGTGAATGGGGTGCGCCACGGTAGCGAGATGTTAACTACCTCTCCTGGTATACAGCAGATCGTGGGTTCTATCCCGACCCTGACACCTGCTGTGTATTTGGAGTCTGTGTGTCTCTCTCCGTGGTCGCGTGGATCAACGTCACGCGTTTAGATCATATGGCTGCTCCAAATGTCCACGTGATGATCGGCCACTTCGTTGAGCTATCATTTATGGCCATGCCGCTTCGAGTTCTATAGCTCATTTCAGTTTTCAGTTTTTCACTTCAGTTTCATGTATTAGGTATAATGCTGTGAGCCATGCGGCTCTCGACTCGGGTGCAACCGCAACAAACAAACATGGGGTGGGGGGCTCACCTGCTGAAATAAAAAATAGTTTAGTTACGAGTTTCATTTAGACTCGGGCTGATCAGCGTGGTGAAGTATTGGTTAATTAGCTCTCATGGCCGACACAGTGTGGCAAGGCCTCCAACCAGCAGAGTATTTCGCTGCTGTACATTTCCGCGTGACAAGCCACTTAGTCGAGCTGTCATTTTCGGCCAGTTCGCTTCTGAAATAGAGCTACATAGCTCAGTGGGCCTTACCTGGTAAAACAAAAAGTAGTTAAGTGTGAACTTCTTTCGTACCGTACGTAGCCAACCGTGCTAATCGGACGTGGCGGGGCAGGGGGTGGAGGGGGGGCACAGGTTCGTTCAGCTCGGCCAGGAGATGGCAGGACAAGCAAATGGATTATTGAATCCATCTGTGTGGCGTAAAGCTTCCAGGGTTGTTTTTCCCCCGTCCCCGTTTGTACCGTCAATCTCCCTCGTTTGAATGATCGCTCCGACATTGTTCTGTCTCGACGGGTATCGTCCGTCTCACTTTTATCATTGTCCCGTCATTTGTATTGTTTCGTCATATTTGCATTGTTCCAACAAATTGTATTGTCCGTCTCGTAAGAATCGTTCCTTCTCACTGTTGTCGCTTATTTCGCATGTGTTCTCTCCGGCTCGTGTTCGTCTTGTTTGTTCGCACTGCTCAGGAGGCGGGGGGTCGCTGCCCGAAACGTCATCGTCACTCTCCTCTGTCTGTTCGGTCGCAGGGCGGTGTGACGTTTCGTATTTAATCGGCGCTCGTGCACCCACGGTGACTGCCAACGCTTCCCCGAATAGTTCCATCCCTGACACCCCCCGCCCCCCCCCCCCCCCTCGTGACCTTTCAAAGAGTCCGGAAGGAGCCTGAGGATACGTTTGGTGGGATCGTGAATTTTCTCGCGTGCCTCCTGGGATCTTTGTCTTCTACGTCTCACAGCTGAGACCCTTCCTCTATCTCCCGTGCAGGGGGTGAATAATTATTCCTACATTAGATGCATATATTTTATTTCAGCAAGTAAGGCCCACTGAGCACTTTTTTTAGAGGCGACCTGGCCACATTTGATAGCTCAACGAAGTGGCTCATCACGTGGACATTTATAGAAGCCAAATACTCTAAACCAGTGGTTCTCCACCTTTGCTGCAGCCTTGCACCCCTTTAGAGTTCTCAATCTTAAAAAAATATATCAAATGCTAATAAATACATGGGGTTTGATGAGACATAGTAAGTTGTAACCCACGTGCCTAATTTGTGTTTTCGATGATTTACCTTCTAAATAAAATCTGTCCATGTCTCGCACCCCCCAGAAAGGGCATCTCGCGCACCCCCAGGGTGTGGTGCACCCCAGGCATGCCCCGCGCTAGACTCGCGTTGTAGCGGGCGTGGTGCGCGTTGTAGCGAAACACGTTCCATTTTAAAACAAGACTCGCCGCGTGAACGCCACGGGGAGATCCTGCATGGCTGTTCTTTTTTTACGCGCGTCGACATGTTCGCGATTCCGCATTTGAATCGCGTCCTGAGATGCAGTTTAATTTAGATGGTGTCATCATCATCATCATCATCCGGAGTCAATGTGGCATCCCTCCTCCTCCTCGTCATCAGCATCACAATCAGGCGACGGCACAACGACGGCACCCCCCCCCCCCCAATGGCGCCCCCCTCCCCCACACTCTGCTCACCCCCCTCCCCACCCTCAGCCCAGCCACCCTCCGCCTCTCTCCCACCTCCACCCCCACCCTCTGTCCCCCGCCTCCGTCCCCCACTTCGACCTCCACTCTGCACCCACCCTCCTCCTTCCCCTCCTCCCCTCCCCTCCTCCCCCACCCTCCTCCCCTCCTCCCCCACCCTCCTCCCCCACCCTACGCCCTCCCCTCCTCCCACACCCTCCGCCCCCACCCTCCTCCCCCACCCTCCGCCCCCACCCTCCTCCCCCACCCTCCGCCCCCACCCTCCTCCCCCACCCTCCTCCCCCACCCTCCGCCCCCACCCTCCGCCCCCACCCTCCTCCCCCACCCTCCTCCCCCACCCTCCGCCCCCACCCTCCTCCCCCACCCTCCTCCCCCACCCTTCTCCCCTCCTCCCCCACCCTCCACCCCCACCCTCCTAACCCCCCCTCCGCCCCCACCCTCCGCCCCCACCCTCCTCCCCCACCCTCCTCCCCCACCCTCCTCCCCTCCTCCCCCACCCTCCGCCCCCACCCTCCTCCCCCACCCTCCTCCCCCACCCTCCGCCCCCACCCTCCTCCCCCACCCTTCTCCCCTCCTTCCCCACCCTCCGCCCCCACCCTCCTCCCCCACCCTCCGCCCCCACCCTCCTCCCCCACCCTCCGCCCCCACCCTCCTCCCCCACCCTCCTCCCCCACCCTCCGCCCCCACCCTCCTCCCCCGTTATTCGTTGATGCCGCGAGGTGGCGCCACGCGCCTCTCGCTTTGTTCCCAAAGTGCCACGCCCAAAGTGACCGTCGCAGCGACGTTCGTCAAATACACTGTGTCTCTGTGTGTGCCCTTAAACGGGGGCAAAACATATGAAATAGGCGACGTTTCGGGCATAGCAAGGTCCCTTTTGGCAGAAACGTCGACT